CTGGAGAGGATTAAATCAAGCAACTCCTTGGAGGCAAGGATTCTGGGGCTTCGTCTGACATACTTTGGACATGTTGCAAGGAGGGACAGGCCCTTGGAGAGGGACATCATGCTTGGGAGGGTGGAGGGACGGCGCAAGAGGGGAAGACCTTCTATGAGATGGATTGATTCAGTGACTGGGGTAATTGGGATGGGTGTGTCAGAGTCAGTGTGATTGGCACAGGACAGAGCAGAGTTTAGGGCTGTTGTACATAGGGTCACTATGAGTCGCAAACAACTCAACGGCACATAACAATAACAACTATTTGCCCAAGACTCAGACTCCTAACCTGACTTAATTCTGACCTGATACTGCTACTAAGTCTTTAAAGACAAGCCATGTTGTTTTCAATTGCTTCCTATGCGTCTGAAAGTTGTACAGTGAAAAAAGAAGACCGAAGAATTGATGCCTTTGAAGTGTGGTAGCTCTGAATCGTAGTGACCCAATGAACAACAGAATAAAACCCTGTCTGATCATAGTGACCTTTGATACAAGAGAACAAAATGCTCCCCAGTCCTGCACAATCCCTCAGTTTCTGCTGCCTATAAGAACACTATTGCAGCCATGGTAACAGTCCATCTCCTTGAAGAGACTGACACTCAGCTTCACCACGCATGGTGTCCTCTAGAGACTATCTCCTCCCGATAACATGTCCAAAGTAGGTGAGCTCAGGGACCACCCTCACTGCTAAGGAGCATTCAGCCTTCACTTCCTCCAAAACAGATTTGGGTTTACTTTTGGCACTCCATGGTTTATTCCGTCGTCTTCACCAACACCACAGTTCAAAGGCATCAAGCCTTCAGCCTTCCTTACTGACTCATCTATCTTCCACATGCATATGAGGGGCCTGAATTACCATAAGTCTATACTTTGTTTGTATTTCCCACCTTTTCCTTAATGTCATTTTTCTGTTTTAGGATACAATCCAGGGTACCACAATATATTTAGTTATCGTGTTTCCCCTGTGATCTCTGATCTATTAACAGTTTCCCACTCTTTTCTTACTTTTCATGACCTTGACAGTCTTGGGGAATACTGAACAGATATCTGGTAGAGTATCTCCAGATCTGTTTGTCAGATCTTTTTCTCCAATTGGACTAGGCTTTATAGGTTTTTGGAAATGGTACCGCAGCACTACTCTCATCAGATCATAACAGGAACTACATGACATCACCTGTATTATTTGACAGATTTCTTGTAAAGTTACTATTTTTTTCCCCTTCTGACATTCTATTTCTAAATAACTCAACAGATATTTTCTACCCTCAGGGCGGTAGAATGGGAATCAAACTTCACCTCCTCTAGGAGGGAATATCTATGTACATTATCTTAAATTCTTCCATAAGAAAGGTTTGTCTTTTTGTTTATTTAGTATGGAATCTTGCCAAACCTTGAATATTTAACTCTAAAATCTCTTCTCTTCCTGTCACACTAGGCAAGAAATGACAAGGACCTATACCAAAGCATTAGTTTCAAAAAAATTTATTTCCCTTTTAAGTGGTAGATTTAATCAGACTCACATGTTGAAGGGAGTGTTGGGGAGGGTGTTTATAAGGACAGTGAGGTTTAGGTGTGAGTGGTTGAAAGTAATATTTTGGTTTAAAACATATTTACTAACAAATATGAAGATCGGTTCTAGGCTTTGATGATACTCAGCTTCTTCGGGGACTATATTTAGTCTCCATTTGTCCAGGCCTTACTGAGTGCCCTGTTGACCCCACCGCAAAGCAGAACAAATTACTTTCTGATTGAAACACCAAGGCCCTCTAGTGGATAAGCCCCCCTAATGTCCTTGTTTCTTGTCTAAGGGTTGCTTGGTTTTGATTTTGGGTTGTTTTTTTGTTTTGGTTTCCCTCTCCTAGTTCATTTGTAGACCAAAAATGTTCTCTGCCTGATAAATTATTGAACCCTTTCCATTTCAGCATTAACAATTCACCCTCAGTTGTAACTTCCTCGTGTTCAAGAAGAGGACATTTACTCTTCCACACTCACTCCCATGCTCTAGTACTCTAATAAATCAGAGCATAATCAATCCTTGTTTTAACTGCCATCTGGTGCTAAATTAACATGAATTCTTTGTTTCAGAGCCATCATCAACCACTTCAACCCCAAAATTGAGTCCTATGCTGCTGTGAACCACATATCCCAGCTGTCAGAGGAGCAGGTAAGCTACTGTTGTCCCCAGAGTGGCCCTGATGTGTGTCTAAGGATTAAGCCAGCCTTTTGCTTCTCTCTGAAGGCACTGAGAATTCTGTGACTGTGACTTCTGAGGGTGTGGGGGTAGTAAGAGCGAGGCAGCTGGGAGAAATCAGTAAGGGATTATCTGATAGTGAGTGCATTCAATAGAGAATGATAGTTCATACTTCTGTGCCACCTGATGGGCTCAGTTAATTATATAGAAGATATGTAGGCGAAAATTTGGTGAACTCTTATTTTATAGTGGGTGATAAGGCATTTCTTTTTTAATTTTAAGCTGAGAGTCATCTTGATTTTTGAAAATAAGAAATGAAATCTTGGAAATAGGTGAAATTGCCAATTAGAAAAACCTTGCATTTAGCTTAATTTGAGCCTATGTGGCTCATTTTAAAGCATGAGTCCTCATTGGGACAGATTTTCTTTAGTAATTAAATTCCCTTTGCTTTGAGCACTTATCTCCGAACAAGTTTTTCTAGGTGTGGACTGAGTTGGAGATGCAGATACAGTGTTGTGTTTGTTTTCCTTTTGTCTGGCCTGATTTTCCCTTCTCCCAAAGCACCTGCTCTTAGCTCTGTATTATATAAAAGTGCAAATGGGGCTGGCTCTAGCATGGCATGGAGTTGGACTTCATATTTCACAATAAAACTCTGAATTCTGTTTTTAAAAACACAAAATGAAACATCCTATTCACCTAGCCCTAGTCCCTTCCCCTACTACTCCCACCTTGGTGGGGCTACAGTATTCATGAATTGAGGCTATAAACATAAATTCTAAGCCAGTAAGAAGACCACATATGCTCAGATCTTTTTTTTTTCGCCAGTGGGTTAAATTATAATCTTTTTCTGAACCTCTTACTGACAGGGCCAGCCAGCTAGCTATGGTGAGATCATGTGTTTCAGTGTTCTTAAAAACTATTTTGCTTGCCCAACGAAGTACCAAACCTTTTGCCTAACAGACAAGCTTGTCAGTATTCCCACTAGCAGCACTTTCCTCAGCCAGATGGATAGGACCCTGTTAGTCTATCAGTTGTTCCCTTTGTGACATATTTGTTCTCTTTTGTGAGACCAGCTGTGAGAATCCATTTTCACATTTAAAACTGGTTTTATAAATGGCTTTCCTTTGTTCTCCTCATGGTCTGCCTTTGGAGTAGGCCTGGATCCTGTTCTTTGATGCCATTGCTCTCTGTGAGATGCACAGTGATACTGCCTTTTGCCCTGGTGAGCCAGTTCGGATCAGTTTTACTGTCATTTTTATGCAAAAAGGATTCAGCATCTTGAGTCTTGCATAGTGAGAGAAAGGGTGACTTTCCTACCATAGAGAGCTCTAGCTAGTCTAAAAGATTTAAACAAAAAAAAAAAAGAAGACACGTTTTCCCTGTCAGGCACGTGCAGTATTCATCCCCTAGCAGCTTGGGAAGGTCAGGCTGAAATCATCCTCCAGCAGTAGCAGCAGCAGACCCAATAATAAAAATCCATTCTGGCGCGTGAGGCAATCTGGAAAATGATGATTAGCAAGCACGTGTCTTCACCCTCTCCAACTTCTTTCAAAGTTAAATGGAATGATGAAAGTGCCTCTCCTGAAGAGCCCACAAGCCAAAGATGACACGATTTCAAAGGAAAAGGAGAGCACTTATCCTTATGCAAGAACAGGAAAGGACAGCAGCCTCAAAAGATTTGAGTTTATTAATAAATAATCGCATGTCTGTGGTACACAAGATGCAGGGCTGGGTAGTCAGGCTCAGTTCTGGATAACCTAGGTCTAAATCCTTGTTCTTCTGGAGTTACTGCCTCTTATTAGTCTTTTTCAGCTGGGGAGTAGAGGAACCTCTTCATACTATTCTGGGACCTTTTTCAAAACCACCTTGACTGACTTTGAAGGGAGTTAAATAGTAACATTTGGACTTTCTTGGTTTTATTCTCCACACTGTCCGATTAGAAGTGGTTAACTGCTTTGTTAATCTGTAACATATGTTGGAGCATTTCAATCCCTTTGCTTATAAACATTAATGCTAATGTCACTTAAGCTAAGAGTATTTAGAGCTTCTAAAGAATTGACTTTAGGGATGCAGTGAGGCACTACAGTTGTTAGCAGCAGACTAAGTAGGAAAAAAAGCCCAAAAACTTAATCCTTAATTCAAAAGTACTCCTAAAATAAGACCTGAAAACCAGCAATAGCTTATTCACTGAGTAAGTTAGCAGACAAAACACAGGACTGGCTTTTTTAGCAAAAGATATGTGAACTCTTGCATTCTGACAACCTCAGATACTTTCTAGCCTAGGAAGTGTTTCAAGTTAATACTTGCAAATTGATTATTGCTTATTAAAGCCCAGTCTCTCACACCAGGATTTCTTTTCAGATGTCCAAAAAATAGAATTTTTTGTTAAATCTTCACTGACTTTTAAGGCATTTTAATTAGTTAATACCATCAGCATGATTGAATGGTCATGCATTTTCTAGTTAATAAATTGCTTGCATTTTTCATAGTGTATGTATACTTGTTCTATTTATCTGGAGCCGATTGTGAAGCTTGTTCATTTTGACCTCTTTTTCTATTTGATATATCTTTGTGAATAGAGATTATGAAGAAGATATAACTTCCTTTCTCAAGGACTCTGAAATTGCCCTTGTGTCCCTTACTAGCTTTGGCTTATCTCTAGTAGTATGCCTTTAAAAATTGTCCTAGGGGCCTTTCCCACCAGCAGCTGCAATTCAGTTTCTTTCTCCCCACAGTGGCTTTTTAGTAAGCATCATTTCCTGGTGGAGTTGTTTGCTACACACAGTCAAAACTGAACATCGGGGAATAAGGATCTCCACAGAGATAAAGCTAGAAGTCAGATTGGAAGGTTTAGAACGTATAGCAGCCTGAGTGGTTTTGGACTTTGGGAACTTTTGGTTGATTGATTAAATTAATTAATTTCCCAAGGCTACTTTCTCTCCCCCTTCAGTTATGTTTTCTCTCCTTTTAAGTAGAGAGAGTAGCCTTTGTTATGTTAATGTAGGATGTACCCTAAATCTAATTGCTCCTGAGTTATAAAAACAAACAGATTAGACACAGAAGCATGCAAGCACAAATACAGTGAGGGAGAGTAGCCTGGGAAAAGATAGGATGCCTTGTAAAGATTGCCAGGGAAACACAGGAGCTACCAAAGCTGAGATGAAGACCTCCTTTCAGAGCCAAAGCTTCCATTATAGTTGGTGCCTTGAATTTGGACAACATTGAATTTTTATTTCCACTAATTCAGACTGCTAGCCTCCTAAACTGTGAGACAATGGATTTCTATGAAATAAAACCACACTCACTTGTGTTTCTGTTACAACAGTACTAAGAAACTGCAACACTGGATTTCTCAAATACATCATAGTGACTATTTTTGCTTTAAACTTTTTTACTTTAAACCGCTTTAAACTCTTATACCCCGTTTCCTACTGTTCCTTCTTTTCAAAGTTAAAAAATGACTTTCTGATATTATTGACAAAGTCATATTAGAGACAGATCCACCTGCAAGGGGACTGCCATGAAATTTCTGGAATAAATGAACTTAAAGGTTCTTAACCCTAAGATTCAAGAATAGACTTTTAGAGCATATTAGACCTTTTGAAATAGTATGTAAAATAATACATGGGTGAAAAAATATTTCATAAGCTTTTCAGCTTGTCTTTGACTTAAAAAAAGGAGCTCTTCCTTCCTTCCTTCCTTCCTTCCTTCTTTCCTTCCCTCCTTCCCTCCCTGACTTGGCTGCTTTGAATTCAGTTCTTCATGCTTTACTTACCCCAAACCATTCAGACCTTTAAAAATGCCCAATGAGGATTTCAAGCTTCTTTAAGATTATTCACTGTTTAGTTTGGTTTAAAATAATTTGAAGTGTTGGTTTATATCAGTTCTGATTGCCCTTTTAGGCAGAGGAGAGCTTCATAGCAGATCTTCACAGAAGATTTTCTGGAGCCCTGACTATGTAGAGTATATAATGGCAGTTTAAGATTTAAGACAGACCTTCCCTGAGCACCTGGTTGCTTAATCTTTGAGTCAAATTGATGACCAATTTTATTCCCTTGAAATTTCTTTCTTAAGAACAAGTAAATGATTGTCCCACTCTTGTTTTGTTCAGCCTTCAGTTGGTTATCAGCATTTCAGCATTCATTGCCTGTTCTGTCCCTCGTACTGTGCTAGGCATTTGAGGGATTCGGAAATAGTATAAAGGACCACTGCTCTCAAAGAACAGAACAGTGCAAAGAAGCTTAAGGCAACTTCTTACCATCAGCTCACCAGTACTACCAACAGGATCTATGAGTTCCTGTAAGAGATAGATCTTTGCAGATTGTGGTGGTCATGAAAGGTCATGTGGAAGAGAGAAGAAATAAGTTGGGCTTTTAAAGAGGAGAAGTAGGGATTGGATTGATGGATAAGTGTTGGTTATAAAATGTACACAAAGCTGAGACCTTGAAAAGAACTTAAAGAGTGGAGGAGTCTCTGAGTTTCTACAGGTCATATCTTTGGGTCACAGAGCTCACATGAATTACTCAAATACAACTCAGTCACTTCAGTTATTATCACAGCATAATCCTTATGCATTGACCCTCCTCTCTTTCCTGATTGTACTGCCTTTGATTCATTTCACAGACATTCGTCAGAGACCTCAAATGAGCCATACTCAAGGCCAGACATGTGATGAGGCCTAATGGACAGACTCATCTTGAGACTGGTCTTCATTCAAGCAAAGAGCTTGCTTTAATTTCTCCACATACAAATTTAAGGATTTTCTGGAAAGATAAAAAAGGTATCCTGCTGGCATCCCATATGCCACAGGACCACAGGGCAGCTAAATTTTCTACATTGAGAATTTTTGTTAAGTTTCACTTCTTACCATTTATTTAAGTCTCCATTCCCAACAACACTTTGATTTGTTTTTTACTTGAAAGAAGCCTGCATGTATAATAAAAGAGATATCTTCAAAACCATTAGGGTAAAGT